TCCTACTCCCCGTGTCGTGCCCTTGACCCCTCCCACGTACTATTAGTTTTACAGGAATTTGAATTATTTTTTTAATCGTTAAAAAAATAAGGGTCGGAAAAAGAGAGGCTTACGAGTACGCCAACAAAACGGGAGTCAACCTCACATCAGTTTGTCCAACCTTAGTAGCAGGGCCAATGCTACAAACTACAGTAAACATTAGTAGTAATTTTCTCAACCTTAGTAGCAGGGCCAATGCTACAAACTACAGTAAACATCAGTAGTAATTTTCTCATTAGTCTTTTGAAAGGTATATTTCCATGAACCGATGAAGACTTGTATATAGGAAGACAAAGCCAATTATTCCCTAGTTAAAAAGGAGGGATTGTCTATAAAGCGACCATTTATTTTTTGTACATGAATGTCACAATCATTCTTTTGTATATGGAGGTCACAATCATTCTTATCCTTTAAATTTCAAAATGGATGATTATAAGAGTGTCATTCAATAGACACAAAGTTTCAAAACAAATGCTCAATTATCCAATTCTAGGTTAATTGTCCTCTTCAAAGAAGCTTTGTTTTCTTATTCAATTAGCTAAAAAACATTTCCAATAGTTTCTAGGGAAAATATCATTTAGAGTTTATAATTTTAATGGATATTTTATTTAAATTACGATGGATATTTAATTTTGCTTGCTCATATGTTCTTTTCTTCGCTAAACACGAGGAATTTTTTTAAAAGAAAGAGCAGCAAAAGTTTTATACAATCTTTAATACACATGATGATTCCCTTTAAGTTATTATTGATATGTGGAAAATGACAATATTCAAACAGGAGATTATCCCCGCCTCGAGGGGAAAATACATGCTCTGGTTGATGTACGGGATGTAGCTGAGGCACTTTTGCTGGTTTATGAAAACCCTAAAGCAGCTGGAAGATACATTTGGGTTGCATATTCTTTGAAATTCAGGGAAATGGCTGAGATAATTAAGAGGCGCTATCCTAACTTTGAGTACACAACTGAGTAAGTCCCATAACTTTCACCAACACATCCTATTCATTAAACCCTCTATCTCCTTATATATATATATATAGGAAAGTCTTTCGATTAGCCTAAGGGCTAACAGGAAGATATGAGCCCAACGGTCCAGATTGAATCTGGGCCGATCTGATGATCACGGATGCCTAATAGTATTTGAATTTTAATAGTTTTTTTATAAATCCAAATCACTTAAAGTTTTAGGCGTATGTTCATAAAAAATAGGTGAATCTTAAAAAAATATGAAAAAAATATTTTACATGAAAAAAATAGATCAAAATGCCCCTATAAAGTTTCGGGGGTATTTTGATCAATTTTGTGTTTACGGATTATTGTTTTTATATTTTTATTAGGTGCAGCTTGATGAGAAGAATACATGCCTAAAATTTCAAGTGATTTGGATTTGTAAAAAAAAATTAAAATTCAAACACGAAATGAAGCAGTGACCGTCAGATCGGCCTCGATTCAATCTGGGCCGTT